AGTCCGTGACTCTCCAATTAAATTAAAATTACTCGCAATTACGGTAACTCCAGGATTCGTCATTGTAACGGTTCAATTTTTTAATTTTAAATAGACATCATTTTCTTTGCATTTAATTTTGTTCTTGTTACCTTCATTGTATTTACAACTGGAATTGTACAGTTCTTTGTACCTGACATACTTTATTGTATGTAACCAATCTTTGAACTTGTTGACAGCATACACTATATTGTCATATGGATTAGCTACTCGACCCAAGAACGTAATTTTCAATTAAAACCTCTTTTAATTAAACTGACGCACTCAGCGTGTCGAATACCTACGTAAGCTCTCTGAGCTTTAGATATCCCTTGAGCTTTTGGACCGTAAAGGTCATAAAGCTTCTGCAGCTCTGCCAGTACCAGCGGCCACTATGGCCACCTGCACTACCAGACTACAAGTACTATTCGCACTGCTAGTATAGCCACTATTATTACTTCCCGTGAGCTTTACCTACTAGCCCAAAGCTCTCTACACATCCCAGCTGAACTACCTTTGAGCTTTCGGAAATATATAACCTAAAGCCGTGTTAACCTAGTGGCGTGTAAATTAACCGAATTTGCTATAGGAGCTATGACGTAGTTTGGACACAAGTGGATACTTTAAAGTCGTGTATATTGTGCATGGAATATGCGTATGCTTGTTATTATATTTTTTATGAAAAAAAGAAAAAAAAAGTTTAAATATTTGTAGATTTGATATTAAATATTAAATATATATTAAATATTTGTTGTTTAGATATTGTAGATTTGTTATATTGTTAAAATCCTGATTCACGTGTGCAGGAAAGGTTTTTTTTTTAGAGGTTTAAGGTAATTAAGAGCAGCGAAATGAAAATTTTGATTTTACATAAATATTTGGACTTTCGTGTTTTTCACGTTGATCGTTAATTATGCTGCTTCGCTTTGAATGCCGAATTTGTATAATTGCGGAAAAACGGCGAAAAATTTTAGTATTCACGTTCCGTTAGGTTTGCCTGTGCGTAAACAGAGTGTTTACCACGGTTGGACCTACTGCGCATGCGCAGTCGGTAATGTACCGTGCGCGTCTTTTACCTCGTTCGAGTTTCGTTTCGCGTGGCGCTAAGTAAATGAGGGGAAATGGGGTAAACGGTGAAAGGATCTTTTTCTTTTTAAGCTAACAATTTATCTAATTCCGAGATAACCGTTTGCGCATGAGCACCACTGTCACCCTTCGTTGCCATTATAAATTTGTTTTCCTTATCATTTGTTATCTATTATTAACGCTTCCCTGACTAATGCATTTTTAATTAACGAGCCTTTGTTTTTGCTCATCCTCGTCCACGTCATTTGTATCCTGCTTAAATAGACGTTAGCGTCATTAGCATTTTTGTGTTTTGCATTTTTTGAATTTTTTTTTTTAATCTCTTTTTTTAAGCCACGCACGATAAGGCCCTGTCATTTAGTCCGTTCGTGAATTGCTAGTCTGTCAGTCGATTTGAAGATACTACTTGACGAGACGGCATTAATTAGCAAACTGTTAATTGGCCCGAGGAATTAAGCAGCGACGGCCAATTAGCTGCGCAAATTGTTGTCGGGTTTCTAATATCAAAAAATTCCGACCTTCTGACACGTTGAACGTCAACTAAGGAAATTGCCAGACTCCATGTAATTGTTTAGTACAGTGTGTGCGGTTGAAATAGAAAAATTTGACATAAAAATGTGACAGCTAAAAGCACGTGGGTTTGTTTATGTCTGACTATTCGGCCCAAACGTATTGCCCGAACGTGGTTTCGCCATAAGAGATTGACACTATTTTCGAATAGTGATTCGGCTAAACCACCCTGTATACGTGCAAATTTTTTTTGGCAAAAAATGTCATGCTAATTCAGACAGCCTGTCGATTATCTTTTCCTATAATACGTACACGTATTTATGCACGTCGATAACCTTTCGATAAATTATTCATCAATTGTTTTTATCGCGCCTATATGTTATCCAATTCATTGAAGCGCATCGTATTATCTCACTAATAGAAAAGCGAACTATTGAATTCGAAATCGGAATTAACTTTTCTAAATTTGTCGAATTGTTATTTCGAGGAGATCGAGTATTGTGAATTTTGAAAAAATCACGTGAGCAAATTTTTCGATGAAGCATGCCAACTATTTTTTTTTGTCTATTTCACATTCCTTAACCAGGTATACATATGTATATAATGCAAGGAAATTTCCTTAGACACTGCAATCTACGTACGTTATTAGAACTCATATATATGTATATAGTGGTCAATGTTAACAGTACATACAGTAGTCTCTATTTCGGTATCATAGCATCATCCAACAAATTATATATATTTACTGATTATCGTTTATAGAGGGAGGACGTTTCCCCCACCAATTTACGTTGACCGTCGGTTCGCGACTGTGTCGAACCTAAAGCCGACTTTCCAGTGCGTAGTTCACGCCTGTGAATCGACCAGTGCGTTGTTACAGTGCGAGGTATAGATTAATTTAGATAAAAATAAATTAAATTAATACAAGCATTGCACAAAAAACTTAATGATACAAAAATTATATTTTTTTTTTTTAAATATTAAAATTGCCTATACGCGTAACATAACGCTAAGGAATTTAGGTCGATCTGAATCGTGAGGGTTAATGGGCAAAAAATTTCAAAAAAATTTTTTAACAATAACAATAGTGGTTCGTTTCAACTGAATCTTTATTATCGACATGTGATGGCTAGACACTTTTTTTGTCGTTGGAAAATTTCTCAGGTGTCATGTGTGGATTTCGCACTCATTGCTATGCATCGGCTTCGATTTTTCGTACGTGTGTCCTCGATATGTACAGTCCGTAACAAGAACGAACGGTACCGCGTACGACATGTGTTGGACTATGATGATGGTCATTGAAGAATCTTGAATGATCATTATTTGCTGAGATGTGATTAAGAAAAAAAAAATTGGTGTCAAGCTAGTTTGGAATAAATTGAAAAAAAATATGGAAAGTTTTGAAAAATGTGTATCCAGTTACAGTATATTATGCCGGATTTTTTTATGATTATTTTTTTTTTCTAACGTTGATCATCGATAGATCGTGTTGATTATCATATTTTAATTGAAATTTATTAATCGAGTCCAACGATACATTAGAAAGCCCATGTCCAATTGTTCAGTTTTTGGAAACCAGTTTTACAGCTTGTTCGTCAAAACGATATTGATCGTGTGTAACGTTAAGGAAGGCGCTCGGGTCAAATGTCAAAATGATTTTAATAATGTTTATCGCTGACTAATTATTGGTCATCACAAAGTCATTGGTGTATTGGTATCTTACAGTTATTCGAGAATTAGCAGTGATTTGTAATTTCGAAAATTGGATAAAATCGGAATTTCGAGTTTTTTTTTTTTTATAGAAATTTGCCTCGTTTATAAGATTATTACGGTCGAACGGGTCTGAAATTCCAGTTCTGAAAACCTTGGTTGGCCTTTAATTCAAGTCGAGTTCACTTTACTCCGTTGGATGACTGGAATAGTCCGTTGGCTGACTGGTTCACAACTGGCTGTGACTCGACGTAGTCAGTCGCGACCCAGTTTCAAATTCATTTTTTTTTTCATCGCGCGCGTCTTACCAAGAAGCATTCGTTTAACCCAACCTAACCTAAACAGTGACTCGTAGATATTTTGGAAATTATGTTTCTCGCTCATTTTCCCTGTTTGTTGTACTTTCCCTCGTTTGGTTGTTTTTGCTCGAAGAGAATCTGGCTGTCGTTATCGACACGTTATTCGCTGATATACACGAAATTATTTTTACTCTCGACGACCCGGAGTCGCGACGAGGTTATAAATTTTGGATACCCGTTAAATTTGGAAAAACTCAAAACTGTAATTTTGAAATTTTTGAAATATTTACACAATTGCACGACGAGTGATGTTGATATCATTTTTATTTTTTTTTACACAATTTTTCACTCATACCACCACAGTGGCACAGGATCTATTTTTATGTCTGCTCTATGCCACTGACAATAAAAGAAAGTCTAGTTGATCTCCTTTCCAAGAAATTCTCGATAACAGAAATATTGCTGTGGGAGACAAAAGATATAAATATCCAGTGATAAAGTAGCGTAGGTTATGGAAGCTGTAAAAAACTACTCTACTCGCGCTTTACGTTTCCGCATTAAGGAAAAAAAAAAAATTTCGCGCGTAATTGCTTGAAATTCGAAAATACAAAATGTCCTAAAATTTTTTACGAAACATGTTAAGCTTATTGTATATGCAAAAAATTGCATTTCACACATATATATATATATATATATATATATATATATATATTCCATATAGTACGTATTCGCATTACCGTACGAGTACAATTTAAAGAAGTCCTTAATAGGATTCGCAGCGGGACACGAATTCTTGTTATCGTTGTGCGCATGCGCACTGGTAATGCATCGTGTGCACGTGAATGCATCCTGCAACTGCAACTGTTGCTGCTGTTGTTGCCACTGGAAGTTGACCCGACTTGACGTGACTCGACGCAAACAGAATGAAAGGAGGATCGACTGGCTTGCGCAATGCGTACACGCTAGTTTTTGTAATGGCGAACCGATGCGGAACTCCGTACGAAACGGTTGTTGTCAATTAGGACTTGTAAATCAAAAAGTAAATTCGCCGCCGTAGGGATAAACAGTTAGGCCAATACGGATTGAAAATCAGAAGAAAAGTAACGGTAGGATAAATTAGATGAGTTGTGAACATTTTTTTTGTTGAAAATTTCGTAACATTTAAAAAATTTTGATTTTTTAAGGGAAATTACTGCAATTCAAATAATATTCCATTGAAATACGTAAATCCAATTCTAAAATCGCTTGACTGAGGAATGAGATAAGAAAAATTTCAAAAAATAAAACAGGGGGACCCGGTAGCCATGCTTGAAAGTCTGCTGATAAAATATGAATCTATTTATTTATGTAAATTGAAAAAAAAAAATTATTTGACAGGTCTGTTGGATACCGAAATGTATCTTTTGAAACAAGACGGCATCGACACCGTGTTTACAAACCAAAGAATATTGTGATATGTTAATATAAATAACTATGACGCTAATACGAGTCGATTGAACCTTGAACACTGGATGAACCCCATGAACTACATTAACCCGAAGATTCGACAGACGTGACGTAAAATCGTCGCACGTTGCGCGCAGTGAAATTTGTGCGTGACGTAAAAAAAAAAAAAAGAAAATTTGAAAAAATTTTTTTTTTCTCAATAATATCAATACAAAAAAGTGAAGTAATGTTCGGTGCGACGATGATCGAGGCACGTGAGAGAAGAGCTGCTTGCAGCTCGCAGCCTCATCATCATCATCATCATCAGCATCATTATCATCAGGTGATAAAGACAACGAGGGTTCATCAAAGTTCACGTACCAGCAGGGTCGTCACTGTACAAGAAAAGGTCATAAGGTCACGACTGCAACTCGGTTATTCAACGCCTACCGCTTTTATGAATCGGTATATACTTATTGGATTTTTTTTTTTCTAATTTTTCTATCACTTTTTTTTAACACATATTTTTGGCAACTTTATTTTTGAAATATTCACTTTATCCCGGCAACCCACATTTTTATTCGCACTCTATCCTTCCACTTCACTATTTTTCAACGGAGACACGTACATCGCTCTTGGCTCGGAATCACGTGCACGTATGCCAAAAATATTTTCAGGAAGCGTGCAAAAAATTTGCGACTACCGATTTTTCTTCTGGAAATATGAATTGAACGTGAATAAAAAAAAAAGAAATATGTGTGTTAATACCTTTGCCCCACTTGATAGTCATACTGTACTCTACCTAACCTAGTCCAACCTGACTTTTTCCATAAACGCTCAGCCATGACACATGTAGGGAACGTGTGCTTTCTAGGCAGCAATTCATTTATGCTTCAATTATCCTGACTTGCGTAATCAAATTTGTATGTCGCGCATTGCGCAATTTCGTACCATACACGACAAAACCAACGCGAAAATATCAATCGATTGATTTGATACTGCATGTATAAAATTTTGAAAAATAAAAAAAAATTTTTTTCTGTTTCAGGTAAGAACGAACGATTCCGTCTAACCCGCTAATACAAGAATTGTTCAAAGTTCAGCAAGTACAAAAAAATGATATTGACAATATCAATTTTTTAATTTTCATGAATTTTTTTTTTTTTTTTTTTTTTTTTGTGTTATGTATATCGCGAGTATACATAGTACGCTATAGTGAAAGTATGAGAAGAAAAAAAAAACCTTGGACCGAACTCTCATCCCATATCCCACCCACATTCACTTCGGCCGAATGTCCATTCGTGTCCACATGTGTAGCATACGTTACTAACCTCTCCTGACCGATTACATAAGGTCGGGTCGGACTTTGCATATGCGCCACAGGCCATCCTTCGTAGCTGACATAGCTGTACGCTCATTCGGATCTACTACTTTAAGAGTGACACCCTATAGACGAGTATATACTATAGGTATATCTATATACCTATGAAGTTATTGCTCGCCTTTGTCCTAATCTTACAAATTTCTTGGCTACAGAGATACGCAGAAATACGCAGTATGTATGACTTGCGCGAGGTGAATATTATTTCTGAAATGGTTGCCGTAGGCGGTATTGGTTTTTTTTTTCTTTTTTTACGGAATCGCGTAAGTCGCCATAGACATTACCTTTTATGGTACACCGCCAGTCAGTGGTTCAATTTTCTTTATTGCTGGTTCAGGCACGAGTTCGTTAAAATTTAATGACTCGCATGGGGGTTTGCATTTTTTTTAATTCACTCGAAATTATTATTTAATATGTGGATATAAGCTGGAGGTTTACGGGGCTTAGTAAATATTTTACAATTAGTCGATGGACTTTTGTTTTAATACATTTTCAGCATTGAATATTTTTTTTGTGAAAAAAATCATTTGGTCACATGCGACTGCATGTGAATTTGTGAACTGGGTGAGAAAATAGCGAATGGATATACGAACGATTCGAAGAATACTTTTTTTTAGCTTTATCTTTACGTTCTATTAATATTCTTGGTTATACCAGTTGTCGAAGCGTAGCTGATTTTTTTGTTGTTTGTATTTACGAAATTTTATTATCTATATTTAACCAAGAATTCTTATCGGGTCAATTACTTTCGCTTGACTAATTCGTCTAATTTTATTTATACGCGAGAAAAGGTAAAAATTTTACGACAGCCGTTTTGAAATATTATTAAAAATTTACAACTGTCTTCGATTGTTGGCGAATTCGATTTACCAATTTTTAATAACAATTGGAATTTTACGGTCTGCGGTTAACTTCTAGGTACTCACTTAAAATTGTAATTACAAAAATTTTTTGTTCCTCAACTATCGTCGTTCAGTCCGAAACGACTAGCGACAGCTGAGTTTACGTGGGTGTCGCGATGACCTGGAATCCGCTACGTGACGTCATCCTGGAATTTCCAGTGAATCTTCCTACACTCACTTTTGGTTTACGAATTTGTTTTTGACCAAAATCAAATTCGAGCAAAAATTTCTAAAACGATCTCGATTATCCTTCGAGCGATCTGTAAGCAGTCATTTTTTACTGAACCCGTTAAGGGTGCTTCCTGCTTAGATCAGGTTATCTCATCGGGTGACGTCACGATCGACCAATCCAAAGTAATCTACATAGTTAAGATAAGTTCTATCCAAAAGATATAAATATAAAAAGGGGTTCGCAGCATCCCTTACTCGATATCACAAAAAATTGAGATACGAGTAACCCAGAATCAACTTAATAAATATTTTTATTAATATTGAAGAAAAATCTAAAAAAAATTTTACTTCACCTCTTTGTGCGCTTGAATAATTTTGTTTTCCGGACATTTTTTTCCATCCGGTACACTTACGTATACAGTAATCCAGATATGTAAAAAAAAAGTACGGAAGCTAATAAAAGTACCGTGTTTGTCGAGAGCGGAACTGTAAAAGCACAGCCATGTATCGACAGCTTTGTTTGCCCTCAAAAATCAACACTCCCACGCTACTCGCACGCATCGCCTATATTCACACGTTACATCTACCATACCGTCTGACAGGTTGATATCGATAAGCTGATTGACAAGTTAACGACGCCATAAACAACAGTAAGTAACTATCAGGTTTCACGTCGATGATGAACCGTGTATAAAATTCAAAAATTTTGTTCAATAGTAACGTTACTGATATTAACTGAAAGTGCATCCTTGCAGTTCGAGATTAAAAGTATATTTAAGTGTAACGCAGTAATTTTCCGCTAGTCCGTGACTTGTTAATTAGACACACGTATATATATATATACACATGAAGCCGTGTTGATCCGGCGCAATTAAATGGCGTCGTATATGTCATGATCGTGTATACGTGTATATATATATATTTTTTCAACTGTGCGTGCGACGTTAAGCGTCGGTACACACGCGTATAGTACTAAATGTAAAATAGTAAAATAGTCGAGTTGTGCGTGCGTGTCGGGTAGGTGGAGTTGCGTGTCGCAACTGGACTGTGGCCATTCAGAACTGGAGCAGTTTACTTGGGCTCGGAATGGGCTTCGCAATTGCAACTGGAATTGCGGTAAATCTTCCATCTTGAAATATACACCGTGTGTGGCGCGAATTTTGTTCCTGTTGAAATACGACAACTGTTGGCGCTTTTCTGCAGCGGTTGTTGACTTCATCGAAGACCGCTGGTGGCGCCACTGCGGTTACGAATGGAATTGCATTTTTTTTTTGGAATTGTTGTCGTCCGTGATTATTTTTAAAAATACATCTGTATTCTATTGTACCGTGTTCTAACCTACGTAAACCCGACAGTCGCGTGCCCTTTCTTACCAATTGTTGCAATTCCAGTTTTAACGGAATATCACAAAAATTGCGTCACGAACGAAGAAACGGGAAAACCGTTGAATAACTTTGAAAAAAAAAACCGGATGTTCAACACTTTCGAAAAGTAGTGCCTATGCCTGCGCAGTCAGAGCAACTACACAAATTTGTAAATCCATTTCGCAGGTTAACCTGAAACTCAAAATTGTTACAAGCATAAATTATTAGCAGGATACGAGTTTGCTTGAAATCGGGGGAAATGTCAATTTTGGCGGTAATTGCCATTTGCGCGAAGATCGTCACTGGTAACAGTTTACTCGACTTGTATATGTATATATCTATATACGTTTCCATTAGTATGCATACGTAATAGCCACATTAAGGCGGCACATGCGAGCATACCTATATGTAGTCGTAACGTCAAAGCTAGCAAAATCGATTAATGCCTCGTTAGAAATCGTCTTAGACGTGACATGACGTAATTAATGTTCGAAATCGATAATTTGAACAAAATAATCAGTCATAAAAATTATCGATCACGATGCTTCGATTTGTCGGGGTAATGCCTGAAATTTGATTAACGGTTCGTGCGTTTCGTTAAGGACCAATTAATCGTCGAGAAATTTTTTGATATAACAGTACCTAATTCCTTAATTCGACTGGCGTCAATTTCACAGGACTCGACAGTGACGAGTGTATCGCGCTTAAGGCAAATTCCAATTAGTACTCGTAGGTACGAACATTGAAATTTCTCTTTGACAAAAAATAAAGTATCTCTCCAATTGACCGGAGAAAATTTCGAAAATACGTATAATTGACGTGAATCAAATTTTTTTTTGTATATTAATTTTTTTTTTTCCCCGGAACAATAACAATTTCTACATACGCATGAACTACCTGGCGTATACAAGGAGAAAAAAAATTGAATTAAAAAAAATTTTAATTAACCTAATTTTTGATTTCTCAAAAAAAAAAAAAGGTTGTCTCGAGAAGCCATGCTTTTGTCAGATTAACCGGAACTGCTTTGCGTCACAGACAATCGGTTGCCACGTGTCAACATCCGGTGTGTACAGGGTATCCCATTTGCCATAAGGTGTCATAGTAAAGAATCCAGAAACCATAAATGCTCAAAGGACAAGGACAGAGGCAAGTGTCAAAAGGCAAAAGGACAAAGATGGGAAATGAGCTGAAGATCGGGTGTGCGCATGCGCGTATAGTGATATCAGTGACGCGTGTCCAAGTGGGCAGCAGACGCCTCTACGCACCGTCGGAACTTACATTGTCTGAGAGTCTCATCTCGAGACAAACCTGCGAGTGGTCCACTTCACTTTTACATCCTCCGTATCACTTCACTTCGCTGTACCACATTGCACTTCAATTTCTTTAGCGCACAGACGGATCCTTGACTCTCGACGTCATCTTACCCACGTAGTGTAGAATTTATCTGGAAATTTAATACGTACAAAAATGAAGATCGAACCTCGATACCTCAAAACTTTGAAATAACTCGATTGATACACAGAAATATTAATTTTAGTCCATTAGCCAATTGATGGGTTGACTAATTGAAAGGGTAAGGGAGCAATTATTTTTTAAGTATATACACGTATATATAATTGTAATAAATTTCTGCATCGTTATTTATGC